GTGTGTGTGTGTGTGTGTGTGTGTGTGTGTGTGTACTTGTTTCTGCTACAGGTAAGGACCATCATATGATTTTAACCAACAAAGTGAGGTCATTTTTGAGACACCGGTCCTCACTTTTTTTTGCAGTTCTACTGCGCTTTACTAGTTAGGTTTAGAGGTATGGTGTGAACTAAGTTTTGTTTAGGGTTAGGAATAGACTAGTAATGATTAGGGAAAATGTCTTATTTATAAATGCAGTAACAAAAAAAATGAACGGAAGTCAACACAAAGTCCTCAGTTTGATGGAAGTACAAGGATGTGTGTGTGAAAAACAGAAGTGTGAATTGTGCCTGCAGTCAGCTGCACGTGAGGAGGAGCAAGGAGTGAGAGAAAGTGAGCCAGCATGAAGGGCAAAGATTGTGTTTATGTTGTGCATATGCACAAGTGTGAGTGTTCACTCGTGCATGTCAGGAAGCTGTGGTGTCCCTGGACCTCCACTGTGTGCAGACAGGAAATGTTTGTCCGGGCAAAAGGGACGAAGCCTTGCCGCCCCAGAACACAAACACTGGTGGATACACACACATGCAAACACAGACATATAGAAACACACAAACGCACGCCTGCAGCAGCGTAAAAGAGGAATCTGAYGGACGCTCCAGCCTTTGTGCATTTCGTATTAGGGAAGTGGGAGTGATTGGGTTGGGCACCAAGTATTCTTCACTTCCCTAAACAAATGCAGAGTTCAGGAGATGGGAAATACAGAAACTCCTTGCGAGGCCGACGTCTGCCAGGCCTGTCTGCCCTAACGCACCCAAAACTCACGCACAAGGCTGCTGCTCTCTGGTGATGCTCCTTATCATAACTGAAAATGACCCATTCCCCAACATATAAACAAGTGTTAAAATGACCTAATAGATGCAGCTTAGACATTAATTCATCACTAAATAGTCCTAGCTTTCCTAAAAAAATGCATATTACCCACTGTATTTAGGGGTGAGAGGCAGCTGTGGCTGGGTGTTTAGGGGAGTCATTCCTCCAATGAGAGAGTTGACAGTTCGATTCCACCACTTTTTGGTCACATGTCAATGTCTCCTTGGGCAAGACACTGAAACCCCACTGCCTCTAACGTGTGTCCTATCAGTGTATGAATGTGATTTAAAGCAGTGATTTGTCTCCATAGCATATTTTATCTTGATTTGATTTGCAAAAGACACAGAGTCCAGTGTGAATCACACCTGCACATGACACAAATCATGTCACACTCCAGCAGGACATATCAGATGTATGTAGCCTCGTATGAAGGTGACAGTGGCAGAGATATGCCGTTAGGTCCATATCTATTTGGACACTGACACAAAGTTTGTTTTTTACATGTTTACTGAAACATATTCAAGTTACAGTTAATGGAAATGGATATAAAGTCCAGACATTCAGCTTTTATTTGAAGGTATCCACATTAAAACTGGATGGATGGTTTAGGAGTTCAGCTCCTTAACATGTGCCACCCTGTTTTTAAAGGGACCAAAAGTAAACAAGGTGAAACAAGCCATCCTTAAGCTGTGAGAACAGAAAAAAAAAATCTTCTGAGAAATTGTTACAATATTGGGAGTGACAAAATCTATAGTTTAGTACTGTGAAAGAAAGAAAGAAAGAAAGAAAGAAAGACCTGGGGTCTCATTTATAAAGGATTGCGTGGAAACCATACTAAAAGTGAATGTGTGGCCAAAAGGTGAAAATGGTGTACGCCAAAAAAAATTTCCTATTTATAAAACCGTGCGTACGTATGTTTCTGCACATCTTTTATTTATAAATCACAGCCGCACGTCAGAGTTTGCGCACGAGGTCCCGCCTCAGGTTCTACCCTCTACACGCCCACACTCAACCATAAACAGTCAATGYAAAGTACCTCATGAATGTTAAGATRTATTTAAATCAGTCAGCTGATCAATGCCAACAAAAGTGATTGGTTCAGACACGCTCCGTCCTGATTCTGGAGGATGACAGGTGCTGACTGACAGAACACAACCTTGGCGTGAAAAGTGGCATACGCAAGTTTCTGGGCTTAAATTGTACGTACGCCAGTTTTATGAATCCGACCCCTGAACACCAATGGGAGACAACAGTGGTGGATGATCACAGAGTAATTTCCTAGGTGAAGAGAAACCCCTTCACAACAGCCAACCAAGTGAACAACACTCTCCAGAAGGTAGAATTATCAATATACACATCTGCCATAAAGAAAAGACTGCATGAAAGTAAATACAGAGGGTTCACTGCAAGGTGCAAGACACTCATAAGCATCAAGAATAAAAAGGCTAGACTGGACTGTGCTAAAAAACATCTAAAAAAGCAGCACAGATCTGGAAGAACATTCTTTGGACAGATGAAACTAAGATCAACCTCTACCAGAATGATGGAAAGAGAAAAGTATGGTGAAGGCGTGGTACAGCTCATGATCCAAAGCACCACATCATCTGTAAAACACAGCAGAGCAGTGTGATGGCTTCGGCATGGCTGCCAGTGGCACTGGGTCACTAGTGTTTATTGATGATGTAATGCAGGATAGGAGCAGCTGGATGGTCGGCTTTTCATACTACAGATGGACAATGACCCAAAACAAAGCCAAAGCAATCCAGGAGTTTATTAAAGCAAAGAAATGGAATATTCTTGAATGGCCAAGTCAGTCACCTGATCTCAACCCAGTTGAGCATTTCACTTGTTAAAGACTAAACTTCAGCCAGAAAGCCTCACAAACAAACAGCAACTGAAAACCTCTGCAGTAAAGGCCTGGCAGAGCATTAAAGCAGGAAACACATTAGTTTAAAAAATGCTTTAGTTCCTCACATATTGTTCAACCCACAGAATTAAAGTTGAGAGTCTGAACTTCAACTGCATCTGAAAGGTTTTGTTCAAAATTCATTGTGGTAATGTACAGAACCAAAATTAGGAAAATGTTGTCTTTGCCCAAATGAATATGGACCTACCAGTCTATGCAGCTAAAACAGGTAGACTAGTGCAAAATATTACAACATTACCATTTGAATATAACATTCTAGTCATTATGTGCTTTAGAAATTTGTTTTTGGGGAGGTCACTTCCCAATAAATGTCGTTTTGGAAATTGTAACCACTCCCTTTTACCCAATACTTTTACTTTTAATACTTGAGTACATTTTGTATCAGAAATTTACTTTTGATACTTAAGTATAGAAAATGTCAGATACTTTAAGACTTTTACTCAAGTAATATTCTTAGAGGAGACTAACTTTACCTAAATAATTTGATGGTAAGATACTCGTATTTTCACTCAATTATCACTTTGAGGTACTTGATACAAGACTAACTTTTAGTGGTTCGACTTTTCTGTGTTCGTATCTGACAAAAATGATTTGATGTTCTTAAAAACAGTTAAAAAAAGTTCTCTTCCTGCTTTGGCCTTAAGTCACTTCTGACGTTTTTCACACGCAGTATGAAAGGAGCTGTTGCATGACCGTTAGCTTCAGTGACAGCATTTGTGAAATGTATTTTAGGAATGTTTGCCAAATGTGTGTTCTCCAAACAAACAATGCGCTTGTCTGACTGTCCTGCCTCATTTCCTTGTGATCTCGGTGCAAATTTCCATGTGTGTCTGTCTGCTGATGTGTGTGGGTTTGGAAATTAAGGACAGCGCTGGAGGCAATGTTTGTGTGTGAGTGTGTGCGTCTGTTTACAGACACACACATCTTTCAAACACAAATGATCTAAACAGGATGAGATGAAAGCGTTCTTTCAACAGTGGGCTCACGGGCGTGCGTACGCATCAACTCTGCTCAGGAAACAGGGAAGCCGCAGCTCACAGGTACACCAGAACAAAAAGACATTTTCAATACCTTCTGTCACTCAAGAAGCAAACGCTGTTTTACAACCCAAACACAAACCAGCAGAGAACAGATACAAAAAAAGCTTTTACTTACTAGCTGGAGATGGGGTGCTGTATCCGCTGATGGGCAGTCCTGGCAGGGCTGGAGGCGACAAGCTCCCCAACATGTGGGGGAAGAAGTAGGAGTAGGTGGGCATGGGGAAGCCATTTAGGTGTCCACCTGGCACCGGGTTGCCCTTCCCAGCCATGATGGCTCAGTCACAAACACGCACTGACAATAAAAAACCTTTAACAAGCTTTGTCTGAGCCAAAGAGGAGTCAGTGCAGATTCCTGATATGATTTAATCCCCCATAGAGATGTTGGAGCAGAAGATATTCCAAAAGACTGTCAGGCAAAGTTTGTATATCCTTGAGGTTGTAAAAGTTTTTCAGAAAACAGCTGCTGTAGATGTCACCACGATTAAAAAAAAATCCTGTTTATTTAGTCAATGTGTGTGCTTAGGGTTGAGTTACAGAGGACAAAAACACAAGAAAACAGATACGGGGTAAAGAATAAAAGGGAACTGCGAGGTCTTTTTATCCCTCCTTTCTCAGGTATTGTTAAACAAGCTGAAAGGCCTTATTTGCAAGAGGCGTTGGAGGGGCAGAAAAGGAGCACAGCCATTCTTTATCTTCAAGATAAAGGGGGAGAAAGAAAAAAAAAAGCAGGAGGCAAGTTGAGTCACGAAGAGCAGACCTGGATGGCAGCAGTCGAGAGCAGTGATAGTGGTGATGGGGGGGTGTTAGTGGTTGGGAAGCTTTCACAAGCGTGCAGATTTCACTCCTCCACTGTCGAGCACTTCAAGGGAAAGTGCAGATCACATGATGCCAAGAGGGAGTTCTTCTCCTTAGTCAGGCCCCCTGTTTGTGGTTGCAACGTCTCTGCCTGGAAAAGACAAGAAAAGAAAAATAAACACACACACACAAAGAGAGGAGAGATCATTTCAGTGACACGGCAAAGAAATCACATCCTTTTGTGCCTAAGTACTTGAGCAAAAGCGTTCTCTCCTTCTGACGCTAATTAATGGTAATGTCTCGGCTGCAATGTTACAAAAACACCCCGTCCGCCTTAATTATCTAATAGTGTTAAGATTACGCGCAGAGCWGTAGGTGTGTGATGCCTCCTCACATGCTCATTAACGGTGACAGGCTACAAATACCGTGGGAGGCGAGCCAAAACATAAACGAAGAGTGCGGCACAAAAGGAAAACTTTGCTAATTACACCAGTCGCAGGAGGCAGAGGTGAGACCCCAAGGCGGTGTTGTGGGATCCGCCAGAGATTTCGGCTGCAGAGTTTATTTCCAAATTAAGAGCAAAGACATGAGCAAACAGATCTGTAATCACCGCGGAAAGCGGGAGCCGACATACGGGCGCTGACAACTACACCGCTAAGAAATATAATTACCATAAAACAGTGTGTTAGCACTGCAATACATCCACGACAGGAGTAAAAGCCTTTCTGCAAAACAACATGTCAGAACAGGAGCTTTTATTTCTTAAACTGTAATAACCCTTTATATGAATAGGTGTACTGAACGTCGATGAAACAAACAACACTGCAGAAACGGTGAGAAAAACACAAGGAGTGTGTCCTCGCACGAGTGCTGTTGCTCAGGAACGAGGCACTGTTGYGTGAATGAGAACAGGACATCATGGGTGAACCCCATAAGAGCAAGATGGGTCGAGTCAGACATGTTAGCGTGCCTGCTCATGCTTGTCTGATGCATATAAGCCATCAGGGTACGACAGACGAGAGAGTGGGGAGTAGATGTGTTTATAGGTGAAAAACTGAAGGAAAAATAAAAAACAGCCTTACAAGAAACTCTTGGAGAAAAAAGAAAATACTAGTCATTTATTATTCATTAGATGGGATAATGATGATAGAAAGCAACTTCCATTCACACTAAACATTTTGAATCATCACTTTAAAAATCCTGCATAAACACTGGATTACAGTTATTATTATTATTAAACCATTATTTGTCCATTTTAGCCACAATTTATGATTCACAACTCACAGTTTTAAAAAACCCATACAACAGCGCTACTCAACTAATTTGCTCAGGGGGGCCACAGTTACTCAAAGATATACAAATATCGGGGGGGGGGGGGTGTTTTATTTATTTATTTATTTGTTTGTTTGTTTGTTTTGGGGGTTCCCCTCATTGGAGGGCCTTCAGTTAAAAATCTCTGCCATACAAGATTATATAAAAATGAGAATAGATTGAAATACCCTGTGGTTGCAATGCACTGTACTGTATTGTACAATGTAGGCAATAATTGTAAAAGCATTGCAAAAATACTTCACAATAGAAACATTATTCATAGTTTAAACAGGACACAGAAAGTATGATTTTAAGTGACTGAATTGGCTTTACTTAGCTCTTGTGTTTTTTAAAAAATCACTATGTATTTTTCTTTAGAGACAGTATAACTGAAGTCATGCACTAACTTTTGACATATGGTGTATATCTTTATGTCCTTCATGTCCTTATCAWGTAATCATAYCTGAYACATTTGGTCCACTTAAAACGGACCAGAGTTTGTTTCCCCCATTGGTCAGGACCTTTTATGCAGGTGTGAATGCAAACCCTGGTGCGGATCAAACAACCGGACTGAGACACATTTTTGAGGTGGTCTCGGTCCGCTTCCAAACGAACTCTGGTTCGAACCTAGCCTGGTAAAAACCAGACCCTTGCCCTTCAGTTTTCTTCGTACGAGGGTCTGAACTTGCAGCTATASAGAAGTGATACTTKCTGGAGGCGTGGCCTCTGCTGAAGTTTAAAATGACTGGATCAGTTTGCTGCGACGTATGTCGCTGTGAAGGAGGCTAAGCTAAGAAGCTAACCGGAAATGGCAAGCGCTGCAAACAACCCTACTGAGAGGAGAAAAGTACCAAGCCGAACGAGACGACTGTAAATGAGAGCTGCTGCTTTGTCAGACAAATTTAATTTAATTTGGAAGCCTTATCAACACAGATTGGCTTCATTCACTTCCTCCACTGCCGTATGCTAAAMTAACTAGCAGACACTGCGCAGAAAATCAACGTCATTCAAAACCCCGCCTTCTGTTTGCTGATTGGCCCAGGTAAAATAAACTACAAGCAGACACTGCACAGAAAATTGACGTTCTGTTCTCTGATTGGTTCGGTTAAAAATCTGCCAGCAAAATCCTTGTCTATGGGAGAAATCCCGGACGGAGCAGAGAAGGGAAACTAGAAATGAGCGGAACTGCGTAGGAAGGCAAGGGCCAGGCTAGTTCAAACCACTTCTGATGTAAATACAGACTGGCCTTGAACAGAACCAACTACAGAAAACATAGCAAAAAGCACAACGTGAATGAAAACCGCGCACTAAAGGAAAAAAAATAAAGTCCGYTATTTGGTCCGGACTAAACAAGTGGACCAAAAAACTTTCCTGGTATGACACACCCTTAATGTTTCAAACGTTTACTTCTACTTCCACAAACTTTACACTTCTTTTTCAGTTTATACATCATACTAAGGCATTTTTATCTTCTTTCACCCTACGTGTCTCACACTGCTATCAAAACCTTTCAGAACGGTGAGTGTACACCCAAATCTCATGGTTTCCCATTGTTTTTGAGCTTAGGATTTTCCTCTTCTAAACTGGAGGTACAGATTTATATTTCCGACATAAAACACTATAAAAAGGTATAAAACGTTACATGTGTGACACTTTTTACAGTTCAGTAATATTTTCAGTACAGTTTCTGGTTTTTGCACATTGACTTTATTTTAAAAGTTAATTTCTTTTGTCAAGGTCGTGTGAAGAGTGCTGTCATGAAAGGAAACAGTGTCTTTGACTTTGGATTTTAAAACAAAACAGGTTGATATGTTTTTAAAATAAATGTAAGTCTGTCACGCCATAGATTATTACAAAAGTAGGACTTGATACTAGGCTTCAAAACATAAATTTAATACATTAATTTTATTAGCACACTTCAATATTCCTTCTTTTTTTTCAGAATGCTTTACTGCATTCTGGTTCAGACTTATGTGGAATACAATACTATAATTTCTAAAACTATATGTTCCACAGTACAGTGCAAACTTGGTTGTTTAAGCAAAAAGCTCCTCTGTAAATCTCCTTATTTAAACTTGCATGTTGCCAAAACAATTACAACTCACCCTGTCACACTGAGCTGATGTGTGCCTCTATCAGAACATGTACGCTGAAAGGTGAAAATGTTTCAGCGTGAAAGCTTTTATGGTGTATTTCAAAGCCCATGGGAGTACGGTACAGTTTTATTTACTTTTAAAGCCCCTCTCATTCCTTTCCAGCCACCGATTACTTACCATAAATTGCCTTTAAGGTGGTGTTTCTGCTTCCATAATACAACCACAACCATTATTATTATAGAAAATAGCCCAGACACACTCCTCATTGCATATTTGCACAGTGATGTAAAATGCATCACCAGTGTCAGAAATACACGCTGAAGTGATGTAAAGTCAGACATATTTTCATAAAATACCCCAAGGCTACAGGCGCTGCAGTGAGTCTACACATGTGGAACTCACTGGGGTAATAGGAGAGTCTTGGGCTGGAAATGGSCCACTTCCTTTGCTTTTTGTGAGTGGGTCCGCAAGGGGCAGCCTTAAACGATTGTTCACACGCACTGAAAGCTACTCCTTTTGGCGCTCTCACATCTAACTCTTTGTAACCACGTCACAGGGTAAGCCACGCATCATGTCAAACACATGCTGCAGAYATATGCACAGAGAGTAAACACTGATTTCTCAAGCTAATCCCCTCTCAAATCTCAGCAGCAGGTGCCTCCTGTCACATCGTTGTATACACCGACGGGAGTTACTGAAATAAAGAGGACAAACAGAGCAGCTGTGTAAAAAATATTTACAGACAGTTGTTGGTCTTCATTGCATGCAAAGGTACAAATACTGAAGCAAACACACATGGCCAAAAAGTATGCAAGCCTTCTATTTGCGGTTGTTTTACTTTCATATGACATATAAAACACAGTAGGGAACGTAAGAAGTGCACAAAAGTTTCAGATTAAGCCAAGATGCAATGGCGTAGAAAGGAAAAGGGACCCCAGGCCTTGAAATCCCATCATTAATGTAAATCGTTTTAAAGATTTACAAAAAGAAGAGTTCTTAACCCATGCCAAATATAGTTCAACATGCTCAGCGGCTCACACGCAAGGTGATGCAGCATAGGGGGCATTTCCCGAGGGAATTCATGTGATCCCTTACAGTGGAATGAAAATAACAAACAAACAATCTGGGTCATTTGGACTTAATGGTCTTTGGCATGTAACAGGCAGAGGAAACGAAAGGTCAGAGGTTATGGGGCATGACAGAGCGTGATCGGTTGTGACAGGAAACACTGAATTAATAATCAAAAAAAAGGCAGAAAATGGCAGCGCGAGGTCAGGTCGGGCGGGGGTACAAGACGCCAAACACAGCCACGGGGGACAGCGAATTCAGCGCATGACATGCAGAGGCACTCTGGTGTGCGCGTGTGAACGCACACGAGCAAAGTTTAAGGAGGTCAGAGAGAGAAAGTTAAACAGATGCTTGGTTTTGATTAAGCTCTAGAAAACTATTCGACTCCTCACATCTCGACTAATACTGACACGTATCATCTACAAGCCTATCTCTCCCCTGATGTCCAATTATCTCTACAGTCAGGGCTGCATTTCTATGGATAGAGCAGCTGGTGGTCAGTGGCAGCTGCATTACACATCAAAGTGCTGCTAATGCCATCGAGTTGAATGGAATTAGCTGCATGGCTTTAGTATAAAAGTGTTAGCTATTCCAGCTCTTTTTAAAGKCCAACTTAATGCTTTGTAATTACATTGCGTAACTCTAAGCCTACACATTACAGTGACTGATAACTGTTTGCATTATGTACAGC